TGATATTTATGATACTACTGACAATAATAACAGAGCTAACAGATATGCTAATTATATTAAATATGTTATAAATGATAGTAATGATATAAATAATAGAAATATAATAAATAATATATGTGTCCTGTTTGGCAGATATAGCAGATTTGGTAGATCTGACAGATCTGGCATATTTGGCATATATGTCATATTTGACAAGTTCATCAATTTTTGCCGGTTTCACTAGCAAATATACAGGAGGACTTATTTGCGTCTGCAGAAATGATAATGATACAAGAAGATCTTAAGCATACAATAAGGCAACAGAATACTGAATTTATAAAGGATCTTTTTTAAAACTAACACCAGAGATAGTACAAAAACTTGAAGAAGCAAAGCATAATTTATTAAAAATCAAAGAATAGGAATCATATATAGAAAAAGAACATCAAAAAAAAGAGGCACAGAAAAGATACTAAAAAGCTTTAAGTACACTTAATCAAAATTAAAAGATCATGATCATATAAATGAAAAATTACCAAGGTATAACTTATGACTCTTATAATAAAAAGTTGCAAATAGGCTCTTTTGAAATCAAAGTACTTCTTATTTACCATAATTTCTAAGGTTATGACTCTCATCCGCTAATGAAAGTTATAAGCTAAAATGCATTCTAAAGAATATAGGAAAGTATAAAACTATGGATGTTGGCTAGCTCTGATTTCTTGATAGCTTTTAATATATAGGAATAGGATTAGATAAATTAGTAAAATATCTAGGAGGAAAGCTTGAAAAATTCCCCTAACTGTTAGGTACTTTACTAAAAAAGGCTATTCAATAGATAAGATTAAGCTTCTTTTTTGAAAGAGCATTTTTCTATACGACTGACAAATGCATGAGAAAAATTTGATAAAATAAGTCTCTTGTCTAGAAATGATTTCTATTCACTTTTAGTCAGCAAAATATTAATAAAGAGGATTATGAACATGCTCAAAAGGTATGGCAAATATTCAAGATAAGGAACTTTGGAGAATATCATGATTTTTATCTTGAGACAGATGTACTTTTACTTGCAGATATTTTTATGAACTACACTATTATGTGCTTGAAAGATGACAGCTTAGATCCCTCTTATTATATTTCAGCATCTGAAATGTTTAATGATTTTCTTTATAAAAGTAGCAAGACAAAATTCAAACTCATAATAAATATGAATAAATATCTAACGGTAGAAAATGGCATTTGTAGAAGCATGACAATAACAAGTCATTGATACACCAAAGCAAATAATCCACAATGTTTAGATTATGATTTTAGCAAGCTGAATTTCTGGATCATGTATGAGGATATAAATGCTTTATATTCAGATGTAATAACCTAATACATGCCTACAGAAATTTTAGGTAAAGTAGCACCAGAGAAAATACCAGATATCCAAAGCATAGCGCTAGATGCAGAAATAGGCTATACACTAAAAGTTGATCTAAAAACCCTAGTGCACTTGCACAATTTCTTTACAGATTATCTGTTAGCATCTGAAAAGCAAATAGTTCTAGAAAACTGGCTTAGTCTATATAATGAAAGATTAATGAAAGATAAAGAAGTTAGAAATGGAAAATATATGTCTGGAGAGAAGCTAGTCCAGATCCTCTTTACTAAGAAGAATTATGTATAGTCAGACCTCTCTAAATGCATCCCTTTGGGACTGAGTAAAAGAGTGCATTTAGAGAGGATGTGTATTAATGGAAAATATACATTTTAACAAATTTTTATAATTTAATAACTATAATTTTATTTTATTTATATGTATCGGAGATCTTACATTAGTATAATAAATAAAATTAGTAAGATCTACCTAAAAGGATTTTAATTTTCAAGTTATATTAAATAATATATCTTTCTATTTATTAAAAAAATTTTCTAGAGTAGTTTGTTTCATTAAACTTTTCTTTTTCTCTTTAATAAAATTTTCTAAAGTATTTATTGATTTAAAATATTCAATACTACCTTCTTATTAAAGTAAAAATGCACAAATATTCTCTTAACTATTTGATACTATACTTATACTAACAGATTCAATTTCGAAACTATCATCATCATTATCTAAACTTTTATCAGTTGTTTTTTTAAATGTATCTACAAGATCTGTGATAATATCATTATCATCTAAAATTTCATAAATAATATTTTCGTCAGAGATATTTAAAAATTCTTCTACTTTCATACCATCAGAAAAATTAAGAGCTTCAAATTCTTCAAAAAATTCTTTGGTTGGTAAATCATTTTCTTGAATATTTTCTGAGTTTTCAATATTTCCTTCAATACTTTCATTAATAGAAAGAATTTTAGTATGATATCAGCAATTATGAATTGTTTTAACTTTAACTTCATTTTAGGCTTAAATAGAATATTGAATTCCTTTTAAAATATCCATTTTTAAATTTTGTACAGATTTACCAGTTTCAATTTGTTCCAACATCCATTGAATTTGATAATGATAATAATTATTTTAAATAACATAATAATTCCAGCATCTATTGGTTGAAGTTTTAACGTTGTATTTGGAAGTAAAAAAATAACATCAACATGTGAAAGAACTAATCCTTCTATTTTGTGACATGAACAATTATCAAGAATAATAATACACGCTGATTATTATATTTCTTAGACATTTGTAAATCAAAATTTTGAAGCCACTCTTGAAAGGTAGTCAATAACATTCAAGCTTTAGAATTATGTCAATAAATTATTGGCAGATTTGAAATATTTATATTCTTAAAGCATCGTGGTTTTGCACATTTTCCAATTATTAAGGGTTTTAATTTATGTGATCCATCTGAATTTGCATACAATGCAATAGTAATACGTTCTTTATTTTTTTTACATCTAGAAAGACATTTTGTAGTTAGGGTTCGATCTGGTTCTAATCGGTAAAAGAGCCCAGTTTTATCCATATTATATATTCTTTCAAAAGAATAATTTGCACATTTTTCACGTAATAATGGTAAATTTTAATAATAGCAGCATTGTTAGCAGAATCAGCTTTTCCATAAAGTTTTTTCTGATGAATTTCATTATGATCTTTGAATTTATGAAGCCAACCAGAAAAAAATTGCAATGTGCCTTCTGAAATTTCTAATTCACTAGCAAGCAACTTAGCCTTTTCAATTAGCATATTATCACTTAATATAGTTCAATGCTGGTAACATAGCACAAATTCTTTAAGTGCTAGTTCAAGTTCTAGAATAATAATAGACTAGTGTCTTTTTGCTTCTGGATTGGCAACTTCACTGGTAAGTCATTTGTCACTACTTTGTAAAATTCTTGTAACAGTGGATTCATGAATTTTAACTTCCCATTTTTCTTCAATCTAATATATATACTGAGCTTGAGTTCTTTTATTATCATGAGCATAAAGATAGAATTCATGTTTTTGGGCATCAGTAAGTGTAATTTTATTTGGAGGCATATTGCATGAATATAAGGTTTATTAATTAAAAATGCTATGTATTTATATTTGTAAATAGGCAAATTTTTATAATATACAAAAGTTTAATATCTGCAAATATCAAGTGTTGCAAATTCTATGTGCTGCAAGTCTGTGTGTTACAAGTTTTATATGTTACAAGTTCCGCATATCACAAGTTCTACGTATTACAAGTTCTATATGTCACAAGTTTTACAATTCTATATTTACTGCTAATATCAAAGTAGGTTTATTATAATAAGCCTTCTAGTATTATAATTTAATTCAATTTATTTATAAATTTTTTTATTTTATTTTAGATTGTTATGTGTATAAATTTATAACATTAATGAAACATTGATATTTTTTTATATATCAAAATAATTC